CCTGGATCTGCACGCAAGGTGCAGGGAGTAATGTGAGTACTCCGACCCAGTGAGTAATAAGCATAAATAATGACTGAGAATAAGAAATCACAGAGTAATCTATAATGCGGTAGTTTAAACAAGTAATATGAAAGCAATAAACCAATGGAAACGAAATATGGAGATGCTACAACAAATAAGCAGTTAAGTGACAGACATATAACGAAAATCAACACATATAACGGTACCCTATAGTACCCGCTGTGGCGTGCAGCTCGATCCGTATATTAATCATCGACGGCGCTCACTGAGGGTGTGCAAACTTCGGGAGGGGCCCCTTACGGACCAAGCACAATATCAAGCCATCTTGTGGCATCAACTAGGACCTCGGCCTCATATCAATATCAACATAATACTGTTGCGGTGCGCAGCCCAATCCCATAGTATCCTCACATCTGGCCCTTGGCCATACTCAGCCCAAAAATCATATAAGCCTCTCGGGCATTTAGTAAAACAGTAGTTCTCATCCCAAAACATCATTTAATATATCTTTTTAGTTTCAAAAACCGAGTAAAAGTGGCTGAGTTGTAAAACAGTGGAAAACGGTACGACTGAGTTCAAGTAGTAAGTCTAAATAATGAGGAAATAGTGATAAAACTCCCCAGAGGGTTCAAATAGTTGGCACGAAGCCCAAATATGGAAATCAATCCAAATAATGAGGATAACAAATAATCTTTAATCAAATACGCGGTAAAAACGTCACTCGGGATGGACCAAGTCACAATCCACAATAGTAAACGACCCCACGCTCATCATCAAGTGCATGTCTCACCTCTATATAGCACTACGATGTGCAAATCCGGATTTTCAAACTCTCAGGACATCATTTACAGTCATTACTCACCTCAAACCGGCCAAAACTCTAGCTCGCTATGCCCTTGCCTCCCAAATCGGCCTCCTCGCGCGTTGAATCTGACCAAAACCACAACGAATACGTCACAATATGCTAAGGGAACAAAACCCAATCGAAAACAATCGAAAAATATCAAAATTCCCGAAATTAGCAAAACCTGAACCCCCGGGCCCACTTCTCAAAACTCAGAAATTTTCACATCATTAGACTCCTTATCTCCCCGCGAGTTCATACATATCAAAATCACAAGAATCGGAGTTCAATTGGCCCTTCAAATCCTTAATTTATGCTCTCTTAAGTTCAAGCCCTAAACCACCATTTTTTTGTCCATTAATTCCTTAAATTTTCAGTCCCAATTCATGAAGTAACACCATAGAATTGTGTTTGAGGTCCAAGAATCCTTAGCTTATCGAAGCTCCTTGAAATCCCTCTTTAAAATCGCCCACAATTCTCCAAGTCCGAAGTGAAAATGACTAACCCTTCAAAAATTCGCGAAGAAGAACTTAAATACCTTCTGCCCAGACATAACCGCTTCTGCGGTTAAATTACCGCTTCCGCGGTACCGTTTCTGCGGTCAAAACTCCGCATCCGTGAAAATCACTTAGCCTCCCTAGAATCGCTTCTGCGGTCGAAATCCCGCATCTGCGGCTTCGCACATGCAGCTCCTAGTCCGCTTCTGCGGAAATAGCTCACCAGGCCAACCCTCGCTTCTGCGGCCTCCTCTTCGCATGGGCTACACTGCTTCTACGGTCCCAATTCCGAAGAAGCGGAAATACTAGAAGTAGCAGCAAGTTCTGAGTTACACAAGTCCAAAACTTCCCGTTAACCATCCGAAATCACCCCGAGGCCCCCGGGACCTCAACCAAAAACACAAACATGACCCAATACCTTATTCAAACTTGTTCCAATCATCAAAACACCTCAAACAATACCAAATCTACTAAATCACATCGAATTCAAGCCTAATTTTCTAAAATCTTCTAAAATACGCATTCGATCAAAAATCCAATCAAACCACCTCCGAATGACCTGAAATTTTACACATACATCCCAAATAACATAACGAAGCTACAACAACTCTCGGAATTCCATTCCGACCCTCGGATCAAAATCTCACCTATCAACCGGAATTCGCCAAAATACTAACTTCTCCAATTCAAGCCTATTTCTACACCGGACCTCCAAAACCACTTCCGATCACACTCCTAAGTCATAAATCATCCCCCAAAGCTAACCGAACCACCGAAAATCACATCTGATCCCTCTAACTCATAAGTCAACATCTGGTTGACTTTTCTAAACTAGGTTTTCCTTAAAGAGACTAAGTGTCTCATTTCCTACCCAAACCAATCCAAATCAACTCGATCACACCAAATACAGAAAGTGAAGCATAAAGAAGCAGAAAATGGGAGAAATGGAGAGGTAACTCATGAGACGACGGCTCGGGTCGTCACATTGTCATCCATTTCTTCGAACGTTTCTATGGAGTGCGCAAGTAACTACGAGTACCAAGTTAGGTCTCTCCAAATTTCTTCAGCAATATGGATGATACTTGTTCTTTTGCAAGGTCGTTACCTTTCACTGCAGTGACATAGTGGGTCACGTGATCCTCCTGATCCGTTGTGCCGTCATATATTTTCAAATATGTCGGCATTTTGAAAGTTTTTGGTATAACATGTGGCACGGCCTCATCGCTAAATGGTTGTTCCATGAACCGACCGGCGTCCCATTTTGGTAGGAGTTTTGGGGTGCCCGGTATCTTATCTACCCTTTATTGATGCTCCCTCATTTGGTTATGGAGTGCCTTATTCTTGTTTTTCATCTCTTCCATTTTTCTAAAATAGCAGTGAGGCGTCGTTACCTTCATCATTAACAGGGTGAGTAGTACTTGTCGTGGGAGGTTAGGTGTGCTGCTCATTGGTTGTTGTAGCGATGTTGACTCGCACACTCCCTCTCCTCGCCCTCTGAATGGGTTTATCTAGCATGTTGTTCAGTGTATTAATTAGCCATGCTTCTAGTAGCTTCTTTACCGCTGGTGGTGCTTCTTCCGCAGTGGACGTAGAGGCTCCTTTTCCATGAGAATCAGTAACCCTGCCATGAGGAGGGGGTGAATCACTTCGCCTGGGTGAGGCGCTTAGTGTCGTGTTCTCCTCGTCCTCTCCTTGAGCTTCGTCGATGGTGTTTAGGAGATTAGCGGTGAGATTGGCTATCGCCTTTCTCTTTTCTTCCCCATTGCCTGCCATGTCAAATCTGTGCAAACAACGAGAAACAGGACTGTGCAGAGTTTTTGTGCGTTGTTTTTTTTAGATCTAGAAAAAACTAAAACTTTTAACTAGAAAATCCCCACAAGTGGCACTAAATGGTTTGACCAAAAAGTCTTAAATCTTTTTGTTAAACTAATTAAGTGAATGATGATGGGTAAATGCTAGTTAAATATAATAAGTTCTAGATCTGAGATTAGAGTTAGAGTGAGGCTATTTGTCAAATGGTTATACCAGCATATTCAGTCATTAAATGCACGCTTTTAAGGAGTAAATGAAGGGTGAGTAATGCACAATAAATATGAGAAATAACAATAAATATAAATAAGAAGAACACCTCACCCAAATATCAAATGATGTGGAAGATTCTTCCTTCTGACAACGAGATATGGCAGTGAACAAGAATATAAGCAATGTTTTCTTGGATCATGTGAGTAAAAAGGAAGAATAATCGCTGAAATCAATCACTATGGAAAGATAAAGTTTGTATATTCTTTCAATGGTCAACTTCTTACAATAGTGTTCTCAGATTCAATCTCACGTGCCCATTTTCTTCTCTCTCCCTTACTATTTATATGGGATATTCTCTAAATACCCTAAAAAGTACAACAAAGGGAATATTCAGGAGAATATTCCCGTACTAGTCCCAAGACTACACTAGCCGTTATTCCTATCTTTCGCTATTCGGCCTCGACCTCTACGACTCGCTCTGCGATTGCTCATTATTAGGTTTTGGTCGACCTCGTCTCATCTGCCCAATTCGGGACACAGTCTTTCACTTTACGTTCTTTCCACGCCCGACTTCCTTAGCAAGATTTTGACCCACACAGTCTTAACAAAAGATGAAAGTCAAAGATTCTTTTGAATTTTATTGGTTATTATATTACTAGTAGTATTTAGTTGTAAGACCGAATCTAATTCTAAATTGTGGTGGTATGTCTGGCAAGAAAATCTTAATTTTGAGTTGGCAATGTAAACTCCTGTTCCATTTACACCAACCTAAACCTTAGACTTTGGAAAAGTTACAGTCAACAATAGTTGGCATATTTTCTGAAAATTATGTAACATCGAACTGAGTAAATACTCGATGAAATTAGGTATTCGGAGTACTTATAACAGGATATATGTCTGCAAAATCATTTTATAAGAAAAGCAAATAACTCACTGTTTTCAATGCGTTGGGAAGTTTAAACCGTAAATTTGATGTTGATACCGAATTATTGCGAGACTAATGTATATGTACTTCTTTAAACCATAAAAGAATTATCCTTCTATTTTGAACCTGTAGGTTTATATTCATCATTTTTAAAATTTGTTTTATATGCTGATTAAATTATGTTATAAAGATAAAAAAAATTTAAGCAAGGGTGGTGTCCAGTTATACGTAGCTCGACTATTATATTACACACTTGGTACCTTCCAAACGCATATGTATTAGGTAACTTTTCCAATTGAGTATATTTTTTTATATATATATATATTTGTTGAAAATATTCAAACCTTAGTCTTCAAGGTTTGCACCTACTTTGTTAATCATTATTCGCACCCTTGAATATAAAGATAAAATTTATATATATTTATAGAAATAGAGATTTAAATAAGAGTTACTAACCCAAAATATTGTAATTTATAAATCCTAGGAAAAATTAAATCAACCACAAAATGAAGATTTGGTCATGGTTGAATGAACCAAATAGAAGGGAAAGATTTTTTAGTTAGAGACATGTCAACTTCACCCCAAGATTAGGTTCACATTTTCTTTGACCCTATCCTCTTTTAGGAAACTACTGTTGTTTGTAATACATCAATCATTTCACTGGCTATAGGGTCATCATATTCAAAAACGATATATGACAGCTGCAATATTAGACTGAATACTAATTCAAAGCTTCTTTAATAACCCATATTTAAATGTAAAATGTGTGAGCTTAAATATCACAACTCAAATGTTTAGATCTCTCTCAAGCTAATTATCAACAATTTCTCTTTGTGTGCTTTTTGAGCATTGGGTGGTGTACCCCAGAGGATTATGATGGCTATTCCTTAAAGGTATGTGATCTATTTATTTTTTCTTGATTACACAAAATTATAAACAAAGCAAGAAACAGATCATTTAATAGGTGTTTTTCTAAGTTACTTCTTTAAGTTTCTAGACAAAAGGGGTTGCTATGATGGTAAGCAACCTCCACTTCCAACCAAGAGGTTGTGAGTTCGAGTCTCCCCAAGAGCAAGGTGGGAAGTTCTTGGAGGGAAGGATGCCGGGGGTCTATTTGAAAACAACCTCTCTACCTCAGGGTAGGGGTAAGGTCTGCGTACACACTATCCTCCCCAGACCTCACTAAGTGGGATTATACTGGGTTGTTGTTGTTGTTGGTTGTACTTCTTTAAGTTTCTAGTTTGTTCTTTTGCATCTCTGCTTAATTTCTTTCTCTGTTGATCCTACAAAATGAACTAAAGGATAGGAGGATTGGGTACATGAACTTTCAAATTGAAGGATTTGTTTCTTACTCAGACAGTCCTTCTAAATTTGTTGTTCTACTTTTCTTTTCTTTTTTTAATTCTAAATTCCCGACTAGAAGAACCTTTAGACTCAGATAGATTTTTTTGTTTTTTTTTATTAGGTATTCAATATTCACTTTAGCAGCGGTGGTTTAAGGGTAAAGCGCATGAATGCACCAATTCCATTGAGCCGTCCGTGCACTTTAGGATCTGATACTCATCCAGTTCACACTTGGAAGTCCCATTTTGGGGTAAAATACTCCTTGCCAAAGATAATTTGAATCGAAATTTGAATTTTTTATTAAAGATGAAGAGATATTTACCACCTCATTATAGCTTATAGTGGTAATTCGATAGAATAGGTATTTCTGTTTTTACAATTTTTTGTTACAATAGGAATAATTCCTCAATGATTTTACAGTGAAGCAACAACAATTACTCATTAGCTTAAATTATTTCAACCTTTAAAAATATTTTGTACAGCCCCTAAGCATATCTTGATTAATCTTACGGAAATAATACAATTTTACATTTGGCAATATTGGTGGAAGATGCAACTGTTCAATTTTCACCGTCTCCTTACCTTTTATCTTTTTTGGTGCAATTATATAATAAAAATAAAAATAAAGATATCTTATCAATAAGGTGAATTGCTTGACCAGATCAATTCATATTTATATTTGTACTTAAAAACGAGGGTAATTATGGATAATAAAAACCTCTTACGTATATTACTATATTATAATTTATATATAGCCTTACTCTCCCGTTCATATTTTATTTTCTATTGCATGATTTAGTGTCAAATCTAAGAGCCCGTTTGGATTAGTTGATCGTAAATAGCTGATAAATTTGAAGTGTTGAAAAATATTTTTAAGTTTGAAACTGATGTTTCAAATAAGTATTTACTTGTTTGTCTACGTTTTGAAACTGATAATAAGCAGTTAATATGTTTGGTAGAAAAATGCTGATAATTTATTTTATTTTTTTAATTAAAATAACTAAGATATCCTTGAAAACTTTACAAAAGATTATAAACTAAAAAGTTTCTTTGTTGAGAAAAAGATGAAAAACGAATATGAAATGAAAAGAAAGTTAGAAATTTTATTTTGGAAAAAATATTTTGTGAATTAGAAAATATTATTAGGGATAAACTAGTAAAAACTTTGGTCAAACTAAAAGTGTTTATAAGCTAAAAAGCCATAAGTTGGGGATGACCAACTTATGATTTATGATTGATTTTAGCTTATAAGCACATGGCTTATAAACACTTTGGGTATTTATCAAACACGTAAATAAACCTAAAAAAGCTTATAAGCCAGTTTGACCAACTTAGTCAAATACCCTCTCTGTCTTTTTTAACTTATATGCACCTAGTAGTAGTAATATTTTTCGTTTTGCTGCTTTCTTTTACTTAGAATGATTCTTACTCGGGCAGATACAAGATTCAAAGTTTATGGGTTTAATTTTAAGGTTTTTAATATTGAACCCATTATATTTTTAAAATTATGGGTACAAATATACTATTTGTTCCAATTTTAATATATTTTTACGCATAAGTTTATTCAAAAGTTATGGACAAATTCTTTTACCTTGCATCCGCCACTGTTCTTACTCCGCTATCTATTACTCGAACTCAACTTTTAACTTTCAACCGCGTAGCTTCAAGGAGGTGTAAACTATCTGTCGCACCTCCGCAGCGTACTGCCGAGGCCCGCCACGAGCGGCGATTATCACGGCGGAAAGGAATAGTGAACAGCCGCGGAACTGTTGCGGCGATAGATCTCCGGCTTATTAGAACAAAGACGATTACAAAAACAGTCCAAAATGAGCCGTGGTAGGCCCAATCGCTCTTCGAGATTTCATGGTAAGCGCTCTCTCTCTCTCTCTTCTCGTAGGATTTGCCGTTTTAGAATTATCAAGTTTGAGGCTCATGTTAAGGCCCAGCATTTGAAGGTTAGGATATTTAGAGTCCAAACTTTAAGGCACTTGTTCATGGTGATAAGCTCCTTGACCCACTAGATGAGGTTTATATGAATGGGTTACACAAATAAGCTTAGCTATTTCGGTGCCATTTGAAAAGTTGTGCAGAAATATCTTTGAGATAGAAGTTGGAGTTTGATTTCGGGCGAATGTCACAAAATTCGCCTTGCCAAAACTAATGACGGATCACCAGGAATTTCTGATGAGATGAGGTTGCAATAAATTTTGGCGAATCACCAAGAGTATAGTACAAGTTGTATTGTAACATTGCAATAATTTATTCATAAATTGCGGTGGAGCACTAGGAGTGTTGTTAGGACTTAAATATAAATAGTGTCGTAAGTTCAGAATGAAGTTTATGGGAAATTTTACAAATACGTTTTTTTTTTAAAGGATTACAGCACATGTCACTTGACCTAATAGCCCAACCGAAAATGGCTCATATTTGAAGCTCTTACCCTATTTAGCCCATATTTTACATAATTTGAAAGAAACTTTTCAGCCTTTAACCCACTATTAAAGACATAGTTTAGGGTTTTTATTATTTTCTTCTTTCCTCATTCCCTTCTCTCTCACCGCCTCTCACTTCTTTCTTTCTAACCCACATAGATCCCTCATCCTCTCTTAAAATTAGCCATTAGCAATGTATTATGCTTCTCTTACAANAAATAAATAGCTCTCAAACTTGATTTGCACCAAAAAATAACCACTAATGTTGGAAGATTTTGAAGTTTGAAGTTCTGGTCATTATTATTATGACCTTGAAGTCTCGAATCTGAAATTGGGTTTGTATAAAAATCATAACTATGTAGCAGTTTGTATCAACATTGTATACTAGTGTATAATTGTGTATATGGATATACAAACACCTCTTATACACTATTATACATGTTTATACAAAGTTATACAGTATTGTATAATTGTGTATAAATGTGTATATTTGTGTATAATATTGTATAATTATATATTTTTCAGTTTATAAGGATGTATATACATTGTTAGTGTGTAAGAGGCCTCTACAGAAGTTTGACACTTCTTTCTCATCTTCTTTTTCGTGTAATGTGTTGTATGAGCGTTGGAAGGATTCTACAATTTATTTACCAAGTTTTTATTTTTCTTTTATCCTGTTGGATTGCTTCAGCAATTGCACATAAAAGTGTTTGAATTTCTTACCTTCAGATAATATGTATTATTCAGGATTTTTGAGTTGTGTTGTGGCTGATTTGCATTGTTTTATCAAATGCTTAATAATCAAAGGAAATCAACAGAATGAAAACAACTGGTTGTATACAGAGGGAGCAAAATAAGCTTTTTTCGGGAATTAGCTTATTATTTTTTGGGCTATAGATTTGCAAAGTGGTATCTAGGCTGTTATGTTGCAAGTCAGATGAGTGAGTTGTATTTATGTGAAATTATTCCTTTTTTTGTGCTTTAAAATTGATCCAAATCAACTTTAAATGACTGCAAATATTATATCCAACATTCTAATACTAATCTCAATAATTGCCAATGATTAGATTCAACCCAAAGCTTTAAAAATCGGGAGACACTTTCTCTTCTTCAATAATCAAGTTGAACATAACTCAACAGAGGAGTAGTAAACTTTTTTAACAAGGACAAAAGTTAAACTGCGCTAGTGAAATCTCTTGCTAAGGGACAGATTTATGGACTTTTAGTAGTTTGCGTCAAAAATTTCATAGCCCAACATATTAAGCATTCTCAATAGAGGATGTCCATGTGAGCTTAAGTTTGTAAATAAGATAGGGATTTTTTTCCTTTCTATACCATATATGAAACTTTATTACCAAATATGTGCATAGTTTCTAATTTATCCGTCATGTTCACACTTTTTCTACAATTATTATACTATTTATTAAATACTAATTATTAGTAGCCGAATATTCCTAATTAGGCGCGCTACAAATCAGAAACAGAATATTCTAATTGATTTAGCGACCTTCAGATCAAATTTGAAATGAAAATCCTTTATCTTCAATTTAAAATCAAATTATATAGACTCTTTTCTGCAAAAACTCTGTTCTTCGATATTTTTCCTTAAACCACAAATCAAAAAAAGACAAAATCGTAACAAATTCGAATCAAATTGAAGAAATCAGTTCTACAAAAGTTGAGCTCGTCGACTTTTTTCCTCAATCCACTGATCAAAAAAGCGACAAAATTCAACAAATTCAAGTCAAATTGTAGAAATCAATTCTGCCGATACTCTGTTCTTCGTCTTTTTTTCTTAATCCAAAAAAGCGACAAAATATTAAACAATACATCAGCAACGACACGCAATCATGTCTGAAATCTCAATCATGCTACAATTAAATGGGAATTGGGATAGCTATGGCAGATTTAGAGATTTTTAAGTTGATGGCATTGTGCTCGATGAGGATGCAAGTTACAGTATGTTGATTTCTACAATTATAGAGTAATTAATGATTGATACTTCGGAAAAAATTGTAGAAATCAAATACATTGTGAATGAGAATTGTCCTCCAATGGAGATTAGGAACGATATAGGGGTTCGTGTGTATATGGAGACAAAAAAGGAGAATAAAAACATAGGATTGTATCCGTTATGTATAAGTGTACGAGATTTCAATATGGAATTGACTATTACCAATGAGAACAC